TACTAGGGTGTGTGGGAGGTGGATCTGGTTGCTGCTAAAAGGGAACCAAATTTCATCCATGGCTAGGAACAAAATTCTAGGAGTGCAGCCAGAATGGATTCCCACACAGCAAGGTGGGTGTGGGGACAGGAGAGAGCCAGCCACATCTTAGGGAGGGGACACTCGTAGGACATAGGCTCTCAACCCCTGGAATTTGATGTCTCCTTAAGGGGAACAAGGTTGGTACCAACTACAGAGAGGACCTGGAGGACATACCAGAGTCTGATATGAAGCCTAAGGTCTAGGCATGAGGCTGCCACTGTTGCCTTCATCATGCCTTCCCAGGGGCCAAGGACTGTTTCCAGTTCTCACCATCCACGGAAAAATTCACACCCGTCTCCCCACACTGTCCTGGATAACTTCCTTTCTACAAAAAAGGCCATCTTTATGTACTTCTTTAATTAGCACGTTTTGGAGCATCCAAAAATCCAACAAAAAGACAAAACGTTCAGATTAATCCGTCAGGGCTGGGCTGAAGTGCTTCAGCCACATCGCCAGACTCTTGCCCTCAGTGTGTTGGGTGATGTCAGTCTTGTTGAAAGGCTTGGGAATGGCTTGAAGTATGAAGGGCTTGGCAGAAGGGTGGGTTTCTCAGAGGTTCTGCAGGGCAGGGAGCGGGTGGCCCAGGGGATAGGCCCCCAAGTCTCTGGGGGGCTGCCTGTGGGTGCCCCTCAGCCGTATGCTCCCTCCTCAGTCCTCCCCACAGTGCAACTTGGATGACATCTGCACACCACACTAGGGGATCTGAGAAGGTTCATGGAAAAAAGGAATGAACGTCTAAGCTGATTTTAGTACCAAAAGACTGTAAATCCAGAGGGTTTTTCTCTGATATGCTTTATCTGTAAATATCTTGGAGACCCTTTGTATTTCCCACTTCTGGCCAGTTGACTTTTTGCCCATAAAAAACACTAGAAAGCAGCAGAAGGCAGGGGACAAGGGTGAGCCAGCCCCCTGGCTCCGGGCCGTGGCAGGGCGGATCAACTTCTCATCATGTGACCAGAGGGATATAGTCCAAGATGGAGTGGCTGTATGAACTTGGCACCTGCTAGATATTATGGCTGGCAGCAACCAAAAGTGAGTGATGGACAAAGGAGCAGAGAGGGACAGTGTACATGTGAGAACTGCCCTCCCGGGGCATGCCCCCAGTGAGGTGAAGATCTCCCATCAGGCACCATGCTTGGAGCAGGTGGTCGCCCTAATCCATCCACAATAACAGTAATAAACTGTTAACAAGAGATGTGGGGGTTTAGAGTCTGCACAAGTTGGGGAGCACTATTCTATTCCCATCACAGCAGTGTCCCTCCAGCTACAGGGGTAGCTTCCTACCTGGCCTCCAGCTGCTCATGGTCTCTCAGCTTCAGCCACACTGGACACCCTTAGGGGCACAGCACCACCTAGCGTGGGGGAAGGTGACTGCTTTCCTCCCAGCTTCTGGGTTCAGGAAGGCAGTAGAGGATGGCCCAAAGCCTTTGGATCCTGCTGTGTGGGAGACCCAGAAGAAGCTCCTGGGCCCAGCGCAGTAGCCTAGTGGCTAAAGTCCTTGTCTTGTATGCTGTGGGATAAAATCTTTCTGTTTCTCTTTTCTGTAAATATGACTTTCCAATAAATACATAAATAAGTAATTAAAAAAAAAAAAGCACTGGGAAGCCATTAGGAGTTAAAGGACGGCTTAAATGTCCACTTGTATTTTGAAAAGGTTCTTTGCCTCAGATGCAGAGAAGCAACCAGAAGGCAGATGCTGTGTGTTCTGGGATATCAGTTAAGAGACATTCATTTCTGGCAAAAGTTGTTAGCTTGAGCAATGGCAAGTGACAGAATTCAAGGTAAGAGTAACAGGCCAATCTTCCGCCTTCGGCCGCTGGTATCTCACATAGATGTCACTTCATGTCCTGGCTGCTCCACTTTCCATCCAGCTCCCTGCTTATGGCCTCGGAGGACAATGGAGCATGATCCAAAGGCCTGGGGCCTTGCACCCATGCTTCTGGCTCCTGGCTTTGGATTGGCTCAGCTCCGGTCATTGTGGCCATTTGGGGAGTAAACCAGTGGACAGAGATCTTTCCCTCTCACCTCTCTGTGGTTCTGCCTTTTCCATAATAAATAAATCTTCATTAAAATTTGTTTTTGAAAAAGGTTTTCATTTTATTTGAAAGAAACAGAAGAGGGTAGAAGGAGAGGGAAGGGAAGGAGGGGAGAGAGAAACAAGGAGAGAGAGAGAGAGAGAGAATGATCCCACCTGCTGATTCACTCCCTGAAGTGCGGGATACTGGAACTTGCTCTCGGCCTCCTGTGCGGGCGGCAAGGATCCAACGCCTGATCCATCACCTGCCGCCTCCCAGGGTGCAGGCCATCAGGAAGCTGGAATCCGGAGTGGAACCGGGACTTGAACTAGGCACCATGACATTCGATGCAGGACCTCGCCTCAAATGGCATTGTCACCACTGCACCAAGTGCCCGTTTCCTTTCCTGCTTGTCACTGGGTGAGGAAGAGGAGCCTTGTCAGAAATGAGTTCTACGTTCAAAGCTTCTCCAGAGGTTTGGGAGTGCAAGAAGCAATGGCCTCTGAGGTGATGTTCCATATCACGCATAGTTCTTAGAGACACAGAGTCTTGCAGCAGAGGGCTGGCATTGCCTAAGGCTTTACGTCATTGGTTGATGGGGACTTTTTTTTTTTTTTTTTCTGGAGAGCATCTAGATAACAATTAAGAGAGAAGCAGGGAAGACATCTGGAAAGCAGCAGCAGCTGACTTGGGTAGTTGGGCCTTTGCCATTGACTTAGGAGTTTGGGATCAGTTCCTGACTCTTGTCTTCAGCCTGGTTCAGCCCTGACTGGTGCAGCCCCTCTTAGAAGTAAACCAGCAAGTGGAAGATACACTACAGATGGATGCAGGGGGTGTGGATTAACTCACCCCTTGTGATGCCAGTATCCCATTTCAGAGCATGAGTTCAAGTCCTGGCTGTTGCCTTAATGAACTACCTCCTTGATACCATGTTGGAGAAGGTGGTGGATGATCTCTCAAGTGTGTGGGCTTTCTGCTTCTGGCAGCCATTTGGGGAGTGAACCAATGGATCTCTCTCTGTCTCGCTTTCTGTGGCATTGCCTTTCAAATAAATAATGTGGTTTTTCTTGATCTATTTTGAGTTGATTTTTTTGTATGTATTATCTTTTGTCTTTAAATATTCAATTTACTAGAATTGTTGATTGAAAAAACTGTCCTTTTTCTAATGCATATTCTTGGTACTTTTATGGAAAGTCACTTGCTTTACATATCTGGATTAATTTCCAGATTTTCTAATTTGTTTAATTTTCTGTATGTTTTGATGCCAACAGCGTGCTCTTCTGGTTATTATAGCTCTATAGTATGTTTTGGCCTCCAGTTTTTTGGTGGGTAGCTTAGATATGTCATCAACTGAAATGTCTCTTGACAGATGAGTAGATTTTAAAAAGTGGTGTGAAAAAGTAATAGAACAATATTAAGCCATAAAAAGATTGAAAGGTCATTTGTAGCAACTGCAGAATGTTACACTAAGTGAAATAAGCCAGGCGCAGAAAGATGACATATTGTCCCTCATTGGTGGAGGCTAAAAATGTGGATCTTTCAGAAATGGAGAGAACATAAATTTCTAGAAGTTGGGAAGGGAAGACATAGGGATGCTGGTAAAAGGATGGATAACAGGTATCAAAACACAGTTACAAGGGCAGGGCACAGTAGCCTACTGGCCAGTCCTCACCTTTCACATGCCGGGATACTAATATGGATGCTGGTTTGTGTCTCAGGTGTTTCACTTCCCACCCAGCCCCCTGCTTGTGGCCTGGGAATGCAGTCCAGGACGGCTCAAAGCCTTGGGACCCTGCACCTGCGTGGGAGACCCGGAAGAGGCTCCTGGCTTCAGATTGGCTCATCTCTGACTGTTGCGGCCATTTGGGGAGTGAATCATTGGATAGAAGATGTTCCTCTCTGTCTCTCCTCTTCTTCGTAGATCTGACTTTGCAATAAAAATAAATCTTTTTTAAAAACCACAGGTGAGAAGTAGTCCTAATGTTCTCTAAGGCTGCCGTGCCTGCCGTAGTTAATTATACATTACAAAATAGCCAAAGACGGGCCCGGCGCGGTGGCGCAAGTGGTTAAAGGTCCTCGCCTTGCACGCCCGGGATCCCATATGGGCGCCGGTTCTAGTCCCGGCAGCCCCGCTTCCCTTCCAGCTCCCTGCCTGTGGCCCGGGAAAGCAGTTGAGGACGGCCCAAAGCTTTGGGAACCTGCACCCGTGTGGGAGACCCGGAAGAGGCTCCTGGCTTTGGATCGGCATAGTATCGGCCCGTTGTGCTCACTTGGGGAGTGAATCATCGGACGGAAGATCTTCCTCTCTGTCTCTCCTCCTCTCTGTATATCCGCCTTTCCAATGAAAAAATAATAAAAAATAAATCTTAAAAAAAAAAAAAAACCAAAATAGCCAAAGATGTGAAGACTCTCATCACATAGAGATGACAGCATTGAGGAGAGCAGACAGAACTGCAGATGCCTCCGATTTGATATTCATTTTATACCTGTGTTGAGTTATGATTCGACAAACAAGTTAATACACAAACTGAAACAAAAAAGGAAGAAATGATGTCTGCCTTGTGCAAGATTATTCTATGGAGCAAATAAGTAAATGAGAAACTTGCCTTGAGGCCTGGCACTTGATCAATACCTGAGCACTGAAATCAGAAAGCCTGTGTAGACCCTAAGGCCCCGTGCATATTTGATTTGATGCTGGCTGACTTTTCACAGCGTCCAGGAGGCCTGAGATGCAGCTGCGAGCTCCCTTGGTTCCGAGTTTGGAGAGACGTCCTCTGAGGGAGGGTCAGGTCTCCTCCCACTTTCACTGATTGACAAACAAGGATATAAAGGCCAGAAAAGCAGATGAGCTCAGCAGTGGGGGCAGCTGGGTGGGGAAAGGAAAGGCAGAACTTTTCCTTACCGAGCCTAGGATGGATGCACCGCTGGTCTTGGAGAACTTCATCGGCGGCACATTTTCACCTTGCAAATCCTATATAGATTCTTACGACCCATCCACTGGAGAAGTGTACTGCCATGTACCCAACAGTGGGAAGGAAGAGGTGAGTGTATCCACTCAGGGAAAACCTAATTTAATGTTTAAAATACAGGAAAGGGGTGGGTATGTTAATTTTCTCAAGGCAAAGGGGCAGGAGGACTAGAACTGTTGAACATCAGCAGGCAGAGATGGCAATTTTCAGAAAGTTCACCGCGTAGCTGCATATAGGTGGTAGTTCAGCTTTGGGTAACTCTGCTCGGATCAAAGTCCTTTTTATGATCACCCCAATCTGGTTTTTTTTTTTTCCTTCTGACAATTGTCAGACATTCTCTGGTAGGTATTAGTACAAAATATTACCAAGAACTTCTTAAATTTACTACTATATTCATGGATTTCTAAAATGTGTGTCATTTCTCTAGAACAGAGAAAAAAAGAAAACCCTAGGGCTTTATTTTAGATTGTTTTCTAATAATTCCTCATGTCTTTAAAATATCTAGTTAAATAAAATCAATCGTTTGAATGATGAAACCCAAATCAAATTCTCATGCTTTGAGATTTAGGGTTAATAACTATTTTTCATACCCAAAGTGCTAATGGCACATGCAGTGGTTTTTTTTTTTTAAAGCAATGGAGAATTCATTTTATTTGGGGAATTTCATCAATATTTAAAATATGTTTGACTGGTTCTGAGAATGTTAATGTATCTGGGATAGTAAACACAGCTAATGTAGGTATTACCATCTGATGTCTGCTGGATAAAATGTATTCTTTTTAAGGCACAAAGAACAGAATTATTTAAAATGCAATTGTAGTCATCATATGTAAATATAGATTATAAACAAAGTTTTCTCGTGAGGAGTGACTTTTTCTATATTATTAAGATTTCAAGCCTGTCTTGCATGAAAAAACCTTTAGACCTTAGTGGATTAGAGTTCAAAAATGTTGCCTAATTCATCAGTTAAACTACAACCAGCCGTTTTCTTTCCCTCACATGACCTAAAATAGATGAGGAAAATCCCAGGTTTGGGCATTCCACTTCTCCTTTCCTACGAGTGTGGTCTGAATTGAAGTTAGAAATGATAAGTATGGCAGAGTCAGCAGAAACCTTGTTTGCACCCCAGGACCTCCTGGATTTGTGTTCAGCCACAGTGAGCTCTGCTGCCAGCAGAGACCTCTTGGCTTGGGCAGAGCTTGGCAGGGGGTTGGGGGAGTGGGGAAGAATGCGGTTATGTCATCACAGGTGAGCTGGTGGGCTAGGGGATCACAAGGATTCATGTTTGCATCCTGATTCTGTTGCTGTTGATCTGTGTGACCTCTGAGAAGTCCTTTGAGCTTTGGGCGCCTCAGTTGTATCGTCTGTAAAATGGGCACAGCCATTCTCTCGTGCCAGAACTTTAACAGGTGTTAGATCAGCAGATGCCTACAAGATATTCAGCATGCTCTCTTGCATATAAAAAATAGACATTAAATATTGAACAGGATCGGTCATTTCCCATAGGTATGACAGTCCTAGAGTGTAATTCCACAGAGGACTTTAGCCTTTATTAAATACCTGTCTCTTACAATATTGAATGCATACACGTCAGGATCCCAGGCAGCTGCTTTTCCATTTATCTGACTGCCACATCCCAAGTACCATGACTGAAACGGTGCTTTTCTGGGTTTTGGGGGATTAATTCCTTGTTAATTTAACAAATAAGCTAAGGTGTGAGGTCCAGGGTCCTCATCAGGCCCTGTCTGTAGTTTAAAGGGTCCCTATTTGGCGCTGGCAGCAGGCCAGGGCAGGTGCTGGGAACTTGGGTATGTCTGTGGCCTCTCCGACGAGGGAGGCTCCACCCTCCTGAGCTAAACAGATCTATCGCTCTGAATGCCAGGGCTGCATTAAGTTTCTCCACCACCAGCTCTTCAGAGCATGCATTTAAGATTCAAGTGTGGGGAGAGGCCATCCCCTAACCCCTAGCACCTCTTTTGTCCCTTGTGTCCCCATGTGTGTTTTTTGCTTTGGGCGGGGCAGGGTGCTCTGTTGTGGGCCATGGTGGGTATTGAAATGAGACAAAAACAACGGTAGGTGTGGGGACCTGTGGCCTCAGGGAGTCACCCAACCCTCCTGGCGGAAGAGCTGAAAGTGACAATCTACTGTCCGCTCCTCCAAGGTGGAGGCAGCAGTGGAGGCTGCCAGACAGGCCTTTCCGGACTGGGCGGCCCGAAGCCCACAGGAGCGCGCTCAGGTCCTCAACAAGGTGGCCGACTTGCTGGAACAGTCCCTGGAGGAGCTGGCCCAGGCGGAATCCAAAGACCAAGGTGAGAGCCGTGGGACAGGACGAGTGGGTCTCACCTGCGACTTCTCTCTGGCCCAGCCAGGCTTGGGAGCAGGTGTCTCTTGTTAGTAAATGCTTAGATAACCTCTAACACGTTTTGCACACACTGGCCATTCCTGATCTCGTCCCAGCTTCCCAGATGGGCTCTTGCCTCTCCCCTGCCCCCCTAAGATTTATTATTTATTTATCTTGTTCAGACAAGAGTTACTGGAAGAGAAGCACACAGATAGAGAGAGCCAACTTCCATCTGCGGATTCACTCCCCACATGGCCACAGCCACCTGAGCTGGGTCTTCCCCAACCTGGGAGCCAGAAGCTTCTTCTGGGTCTCCCACATTGGTGTGCGGGTCCAAGCATTTGAGCCATCCTCTGCTGTTTTCCCAGGCCATAAGCAAAGCAGGGAGCTAGATTGGAAATGAAGCAGATGGGACTGGAAGTGATTCCTATATGGACTGCCGGCTTTGGGGAGAGCAGTGCCACGGAAGGTCCCTGAGGCCCCACGCTTGCACGTGGCTCACTCTGGCTTCACTGAGAGCAAAACTGTGGGACTGAAACCCAGAGCCAAAGGGCAGGGTCACACCCTGTGTGTTCAAGAAGGAAGAGCAATGGGATGTGGCAAAGGATGTGAGGAATGCTTGAGCATGAGGCACCAGGAGGCCAGCTCCCGCCCACTGGCAACAGAGAATAGAGAACCAGTGACCAGGCTGCCACCTGATGGCTTGCGTGATCACGTGCTGTGTTCCAGCAGGTCGCTGGGAGTGGGGAAGGGAACGGAGACTCAATTGCAGGCACTCCAGTATTGGCCCGGCGTGTCCCCAGCTGCATCTTAACTGCTGAACCCTAGCCCTGGAATGTTTTCTGAGGAGTCAGATGCTGGTCCATCCCCAGTACAATTGCTTGATTTTTGTTTTCATTCTTTTCTAAACATCAAGGAAACGGAGTAAACATACTCAATCTCTCTTTGCAATCATATGCGAGGAGAAGCCAAGAGGCTCACAGTTAGACGTGTGTGGGCTCCTGCTAGGTATGTGGGAGCCCTGATGGAGACCCTGGCCCTTGACTTGGCCCTAACCCCGCCCTGGCTGGTGTGGCCTCCTGGAGAATCAACTAGCCGATGGAAGATCTCTTCTCTCCGTGTGTGTCTCTGTGTGTGTGTGACTCTGCATTTCAAACAACGAAAAGTTCTCTGGGAAAAAGAATGATATTCCAGATAGGTGCTATGAACCAGTCTACCTTTGGGAAACAGCCTGGGTACTGCCTGCCTTTGAAGAAAATATATCGCCTGCAGGTGTTGTTGTAGACAGAAGGCCCCTGCGTCACTGAGCGGCCTCTGCCTTCGTCGGAGGAGGAGCTCATTTCGCCGTCTCCTCCCGGGAGCACTGGGTGGGCAAGCTGAGGCAGGAGCACAGGGCATCCTGTGCCTGGGGGTATGGGCATCACTCCCCAGAACTGCTGTGTGCCTGGAGGACATGTCATGCATCCTGCGTGTTTGTGAAAGTGATAGGCGTGTGTGTGTGTGTGTGTGTGTGAGGGGGTGTGTGTGCATGTGTGTGAGGCTGGCCTGGGGCACGCTGGGATATTTGTGGTTGAAACCAGGCAGGTGTTGTATCAGTGCCACCGCCATGTGAAACGCACTCACCATGCGATCTGGGGGCTTCCTTCTCACAGGCAAAACCGTAACCCTGGCGAGAGCCATGGACATCCCGCGGTCGGTGCAGAACTTCCGGTTCTTCGCATCCTCCATCCTGCACCACACGTCTGAGTGCACGGACATGGACCACGCGGGCTGCATGCACTACACCGTGCGTACGCCTGTGGGCATCGGTAGGTGCCATCCCTGGCCAGCCTGCAGCACCGCAGGCAGAGCCGAGCGGCGGAAATGCTGCGCAGTGGAGCTCACCCAGCCGATCCAGCAAAGGAAGGAGCGGGTCTGATGGGTTTCCGCAAGGGTTTCTGGCAGTCTCAAACACCTACGCCGTGTGTCCAATTCCCTATTCACACTTAGAGTGTTATGTTTGAAAAATCATGCGAGGACCAAATTCATATTCCAGGACTTTTTCCTATCTCTGAAGTTACTTCAAAAAATCCCTGGAAAGGTGAAATCAGCATACAAACATATTTGGTACTTCAGATGTTGACATCCAAACACTGGTTGTTCATTGTATGTATTTTCCATGAATTTTTTGCAGACTCCTTGTTTTCACAGGTTTCAGAATTTTGGAAACTAAATTGAACGTATCTGCTAATTCTGTTTTCCACATACTTTTGGAAGTACTCTTTTTGTAAGATATATTATTTATTTATTTATTGAGGGTTTATTTGTTTTTATTGGAAAGGCAGATTTACAGAGAGGAGAGACAAAGAGAAACACCTCCTTCCCCAGGTTCACTCCCCAAATGGCTGTGATGGCTGGAGCTGAGGTGGCTGGAGGACAGGAGCCAGGAGCTTGTTTTGATTCTCCTATGCAGGTGCAGGGTCCCAAGGCTTTGGCCCATCTTCAGCTGCTTTCCCATACCACAAGCAGGGAGCTGAAAGGGAAGTGGTGCAGCCGGGACACGAACTGGCACTCATATGGGATCCCGACACTTGTAAGGAAAGGATTTAGCCATTGAACAGTTGTACCAGGTGCCAGACTCTTCTAAAATTAAAACATGATGTTTCTCAAGAACTTAGGGGTTAATTGTAGAATAGTGTAGTTAAGACACTTCTGTGTGTTTCATATAAGAGAAGCTGATATGATATTTTAATCGTGTTTTTATCTGTTAATATGAACTAAATAAGTTAGCAAATACAGAGCCTTAGAATAACGCCAGGCACGTGGCCTTACTCATCTCTGGAGAACATAAAAATATATGTAGTGGCTATAACGTTCCACTAGGTGTCACTGTCTGCCGCAAGAAAAAAACAATCTGCATTCTTACTAGTTATGCCTTTGAAAGGAAGTAAGTCAAAAGGAAAGAAACTGAGACCTTTTATTACTTTGAGGGAAATCATACTTTCAAGACATTACGGAAAGTTCTAACTAATGTCTAAAAAGTATGCTAATGTGTTATATTGCAAAAATACTCTAGTTTCCCACTAAGAGCAAATTTCTCTGGGAAATTTAGTATTCCAAATCGTTTCATTTTGTATTTTCAAAAAATTATTTTTTATTTTAAAGAAGGATCAAGAGTGAGCGAGAACAAGAGAGAAATCCCTTCTATCCACTAGTTCACTCTCCAAATAGATGTAATAGCCAGAGTTAGGCCTATCTGACATCAGGAACCAGGAGCCTTCTCTGGATCCCCTTGTGGTGCAGCAGAAATACATGGAATGCAGGGGCTCAAGGCCTTGGGCCGTCCTCTGCCGCCCTCCCAGGCACAGTAGCAGGATCGGAAGTGGAGCAGCTGGGTCCTGAAGTGGTATCCATGTGGGTGGGTTTACCTGCCATGCGGCGGTGCCCACCCTCCAGTGGTTTTTGACAGTGCACGCTTGGAGGGCAGAACCTAAAACACAGCCAATCCGTTTCCTGCTTAGGGCAGATTTCGTATCGGTGTTTTGGGGATTGGAGACCCAGCCGGCTTCAGTTGCAGGGAGCCCCATTCTAGATGCAGGCAGCAAACTTGACAGGTGACATTATAGATAGGAACCTAAGGAGTGTTTTTATCTGGACATGGTGGTGCAGTGAGTTAAGCCACCATTGGGGATACTCTCATGACGTATCTACGTGTTGGGGATTGAATTCTGTTTCTGCTTCCAATCCAGCTTCTTGCGAATGCACTCACATTATCTTTATAGACCATTTCATTGGGACAGGTGTTGTAGCACAGTGTGTTAAACTCCCATCTGGGATGCCCACTCCCTGTACTGGAGTGCCTGGGACCAAATGCCAACTCTGCTTTCGTACAGGTGCAGGCAGGAAGATGACAGGCAGCAGGTGATGGCCCAAGTCCTTGGGCTCCTGTCACCCAGGTGAGAGACCAGCTGGAGTTCCAGGTTTCTGGGCCAACTTGGCAATTATCACCCCTTGGGAAGTGAATCAGTAGATGAAAGATCTTTCTCTCTCACTGTGTGTTTCAAATGGATAAAAGTATATTAAAATCTTTGAAAAAAGAAAGCTTCTGAATAGTCAAGGTGGACTGCACAGCCTGGGATCGAAGCTCACTGGCCTTGTGGCTGGGACAGCCCCACAGGGATGCTCAGAAAAATCTTTTCTCCTGTTTTACAAACAATTTCTTAAAGCTTGAAATGTTACATCTCAGTTCACAGAAGACTAGAGGCAGATGTAGGGAGCTTGTAGAAGGAGGAGCAGCTGGGCAGCTTCACAAATTCCCGGCATACATTGTTTTTTTAAAAAGCAGCCTTTGGTTAAGCAATGTTCATTTGCATCATTCTGAAACTGATGGCTGGCAGCCTTTTAGTCCTGAAGCTTCGTGTTTACCATAGTGAGCCACCCAAAAGCAAATGAATTGTGTTGATTTGACTGTCGTCTGGATATGTTTTAAAATGTTCTGCTTTGTGCAGAGGCAGAGACAGCTGTTAGATGGAGAGAGAGGGGACTCACCCCCTTAGCTTGCCACTGCCCCCTCCCTACTGATGCTCTTTATGGCTGAGGATGGTCCCGGCTGAAACCAGAAGCCAGGAATCTCAATCATGGCCCCCAGTGAAGGTGGTAGAGACCTCCCAAACTGACCTCTCTTCTGCTACCTGCCAGGGTGGGCATTAGCAGGAAGCTGGGATTAAAAATAAGAGGGAAGGGAGGCTGGCTGGTACATGGCTTAACAGGCTAATCCTCACCCTGCATGTGTGGGGATCCATAAGGGTGCTGGTTTATGTCCTGGCTGCTCCACTTCCCATTCAGCTGCCTGCTTGTGGTATGGAAAAGAAGTGGAGTGACCCAGTTTTGGGACCCTGCACTCACGTGGCAGATCTGAAACAAGTTCCTGGCTCTTAGCTTTGGATTGGCTCAGCTCTGGCTGTTGGTGACCACTCGGGGAATGAACCAGCAGGTGGAAGATCTTCCTCTTTCTGTCTCTCTATCTCTCTATAAATCTACCTTCCTAATAAAAAGGGATAAATATCTTTAAAAAAGAAAGAAAGAAATAGAGAAAACAAGGGTAGACCTCAGACCCTGGTCTGATCTGGTGTAAGGGGAGCTTAGATGGTATGTTAAACCCTATGCTCAAGAGTCTCCCCATTTGTAATGGTTTGTAGAAATCGCCTGCAAATAAGAAAGGTTTGTGGAGAGGAGGGGGGTGGTTTGGAAGAACAGCTGACATTTTGGGTGACTTAAAAGTTGTCTGCATTAGCAGTTGGGTAGCCTGCCTGTCCTGTGGGGCGTGTCCTTTTGCGCAACGCTGTGTCTGTTCTCCACCTCCCAGCCGGCCTCATCAGTCCTTGGAATTTGCCACTCTACCTGTTGACCTGGAAGCTGGCCCCGGCCCTGGCTGCCGGGAACACTGTGATAGCCAAGCCCAGTGAGCTGACTTCAGTGACTGCCTGGATGTTGTGTAAACTCTTGAACAAAGCAGGTGATGATGTGTGGGGACTTGGAGGGAGGCCCAGGGCTGGAGTAGAGTTGTAGCAAATAGAACCTTCTACTCAGTGGCAAAATGGCTTCCAGGGATGTCCTTAGCCACTGACTGCTTGATCTATTCTTGATCACCTTCACTTACAGCATTCTTTCATCACTTCTTCCCTTCTGTGCCAAGTGGCTCCAGGCCCCCCGGGAGTCCACTGGCAGCACAGTTAGAGTGCAGCAGGAGCATGGGATAAAAGGGTTTGGGTCAAACTAGGGATTGAAACCTGCACTTCTTGCCAACAATTTCTTTGGGGTGCCCCGGGATGGAGTGTTATGATGCCCTCAAGGTGTGTGGGTAAAGCTTGTGGTTCTATGAGGAACATGTAACAATCATAATGGGTCTGTAATGTGAAATTTTAATTTGTGCTTGAAAGTAGATTCTTAAAGAGATGCTCTAAGTCTGAAAGGGAGGGCTTCTAATGAGGAAGGCTATCTGGTTTAAGACAAGGGAAGGGACAGGGAAGGGGCCCAGGATCAGGGACACAGCTACAAAAGTTGACACATGGCAGAGTTTCTGATTCCACTGCAGGACTAGCCTGCAACAAGATAGAATGAAGTCAGCCACCTCTGGAAAACCCAGCAGCTCTGCGGCTGCAACACAACTGTCCATGTCAAGTTGCTCTTTGCACACTACTTCCAACTTCCCAAGTCCACAGACCAGTTCTCATGGGGGTGCTGTACATCAAGGTTTAGTTCAATTTACTCATTGACTTAACATGCTTATTGATTGCTTTTTCAACCTCACTCTGCCTCAGTGTACCTCTGGGTGGAGGTGGTGTGAGTATTGCTCATCTGACAGGGCTGTGAGGTCAGGAGAGCATGCAGGACTAATGGTGCTGGCTGGCCCATGGCAAGCTTCTCAATGAATGTGAGCCTTTACCGAGGTTAGCTCTGTGTATAAAACTAGGCTGCGGTGTAAAGGATGCAATGAAGAACAAAACCCATGCACTATCCTGCCCCCTCTGGCATCCCTTCTGGTCCTGTGCAGAAAACACAAATTAATGCATTGAGACACAGGCAAGGAGAGGCTTGTCGGGGGAAGATCGGGGGCTCCATTTCTCGTTGAGTTTGGAATTTGGGAGCTGGCTTTAGAGTGCACTGGTGTGATGCATCTCACGGGCTCAGGACTTCTATTTCAAAACTCTGCTCCCTGGGAAGCCTTGCGTGGCTCTTGTGAACCAGGTTAGTCAACCTGTTCTCCATGCCTGTGCAGCCTTTATATACCCTCTGTCTCCTGTTTCATTCTGCATCGTGATTTCTGGGTACCAGATTGAGGCAGGGCCCTGATGCCCATCTGATGTTGGCCTACCTGAGGTCATGTGTGCATCCATAGCCCCCTAACTCCTAGGCGCTCCTGTGGCAAGAATGACCTAGAATGAGCAAGGCACTCAGAGAAATCTCACCTGGCGGGAGCTTTAGGCAGGGCTAACTCTGAAGTCTTGGCTGTTATGCTGGAGACAACAGTAGAAGTTCTGGGTTTTGTCAGCCCTCTCAAAAGCTCTGCTGGCCCCCGTACATACTCAGGTCCCCATACTTAACCAGGCCCCCATAACCACCATCACCCCCATACTCACCCCGGCCCTGCGCTGGGACTGAAGCACTCCCTGGAGTAGCCCTGTTTGGCCTGAAGGCCTCAGCACAGTGGGAGGGAATTGCTGGCACTAATTCTGTTTCCTTCCAGGCGTTCCACCAGGTGTGGTCAATATCGTGTTTGGAACAGGGCCCAGAGTAGGTGAGGCTTTAGTGTCCCACCCAGAGGTGCCCGTGATCTCCTTCACCGGGAGCCAGCCCACAGCCGAGCGCATTACCCAGCTGAGTGCTCCCCACTGCAAGAAGCTCTCGCTGGAGCTGGGGGGCAAGAATCCTGCTGTCATCTTTGAGGACGCCAACCTGGAGCAGTGCATTCCAGAAACCATCAGGTCTAGTTTTGTCAACCAGGTGGGTCTTCCGGGGGCTGCCCTCTCCATGTGGTCCCATCCATCCAGGTGGATGGATGTCATCACAGGACAAAGTCCAGGAATGACACACGCCCTTTCAGCATCAGTTCAGTTGCCAGAGGACCAGGACCTCGTGTCCTTCCATTGACAATCTGTTTCACCTCAATATCTGTCAGTAAGCTCATTCTTTCAAAGCTCCTCTTGAATAAACTCCTTTGCCTGGGGTTCACACGTTTAAACAGGTACCAGACCTGCTCAATACTTCTTATTCCTTTATTCACATAATTGTCCCTTCTTTCCATCCTGATGTCTTATTTGTAGCAAACAATATTCTCTCAGTGCATTCACACTGACACAGATACACCCAAAATAACCTAGCATGGGTTTTTGAACTTGGAGTCAGTGATGGGCTTGAGGGCACCTGCTCAGATTTTCGAACACGTTTATCAGGCTCTGTGGTTTTAGCCGATTCTTCAAGGCCACAGGCACCTGAAGGGTTAAGCCCACCATACCAGATCGGTTAGGCAACAGCCTCATGAAGATGGGGTTCGGGGCTCACTTTTGTGCAGTATTTTTGGCATCCATGCCCAGAACGTTGCCTAGATGAGATGGCTGTGTTTAAACTATGGGTTACTTCTTTCTACTGGCTGTTTTTGTTTAAGCAGAGAATAAAACCTTAAATCAAGGAGTTAGAAGTCTAATAATAGGGAGAAACAGATGTGAAATGACATCAATCTATTTACCTGACTCAGGTAACATTCAATGTCATGTAATCCTCTGAATCTATATCTTAATTTTTTTCAATTGCTGCATTTTTATTTCATTTGAGAAGGAGAGAGCACACGTGAGAGAGGGAGAGAGATTTTCCATCCACTGGCTCACTTCCCGAATGCCTGCTGTATTCCATTGACTGTGATTGTTTTTCACTCAAGCTTGTTGAGAGGACCTCTCATACGAACACTCAACATCTCCACTTCCTCTTCCTGGCTCCATGTGCCCTTCGAGGAGACACAGTCACCTAGGGCTTAGGCCAAACATCTGGGGTCATCCTTCTTGCTTTCCCTAACCCAGACATCTCACTTTTCCACAGTCCTGCTGGCTCTGTTGTTAACATGAATCCCAAACACTCTCTCTTCTCCAGTGCATCTGTGTCATTATGGGGCCCCTGTAAGAACTTGGCAGATTCCATCGCCATTTACTTCATTGGTGTCTCCCCTGTTTTCATTTATCTGGGATTCCAGAATATTCTCTCAATTCTCTCCTCTATTCCCATGCTCATTTATTTCTATTTTCTTTCCCTCACAGAGTGATCCATTATTTTAAATATTTATTTACTTGGAAAGCAGACCTACAGAGAGAAGGACAGACACGGAGAAATCTCTCATCTGCTGGCTCACTCCCCAAATGGCCACAGTTGCAGGAACTGAGCCAGTACAAAACCTGGTGCTAGGAACTTCTTCCAGATTTCTCACAAGGATGCAGGGGCCCACGGACTTGAGTCATCTTCCACTGCTTTCTCTGGTTCATTATCAAGGAGCTGGATCAGAAGTGGAGCAAATAGGATCCAAACTGGCACCCATATGGAATGTTGGCACTGCAGGCAGTGGCTTAATCCATTATGTCACAGTGCCAGCCCCAGAATGATTTCTTTTAAAAAGTAAATGCAATCATATTCCTCTGTTACTTAAATCCTTCCTTGATCTTTTCATGACATGAAGAATAAAATATAAGCTCCTCGGGCCGGCACGGTGGCACAGTGGTTAAGGTCCTCGCCTTGCACACCCGGGATCCCATATGGGTACCGGTTCTTATCCCAGCAGCCCTGCTTCCCTTCCAGCTCCCTGCCTGTGGCCCGGAAAAGCAGTCGAGGACGGCCCAAAGCTTTGGGACCCTGCACCCGCGTGGGAGACCCGGAGGAGGCTCCTGGCTTCTGATCGGCATAGCATCGGCCGTTGCGCTCACTTGGGGAGTGAATCATCGGACGGAAGATCTTCCTCTCTGTCTCTCCTCTCTGTATATCCGCCTTTCCAATAAAAAATATATATATATATATATAAGCTCCTCCCACAAAGCTCACAGTCTCATGATGTTGCCCACCTTCTAACCTCCTCTCCTGCCAGCTCCTGTCCTTGCTTCCGCTCCCATCCTCAGCCTGGCACCTCGTTGTCTATTCTGACACACACCATGCTTATTCCTACAGCAGGTCCTCCCTGCTTACAGCCAGAATTTTCTTCCTCAGATCTTTGTTCCTTCACATCAATCAAGAGTCCCCTCTATGATTGCCTCTTGGCAGGTGGCTTCCATGACTCCCATCAGTCAAACAGTTGCTCTCACATCAGCTTATACTTCCATCTTGTGCCTGATTCCCCCTTATGGCTTTGAAAACCATGTGAAGTTATATTTATTGACCATCTCCACTGGAGCTTTTATTTTCTTCCCCGCAAGTCTGTGTTTTCCCTATGACAATGAATTTATTCTGTTCCCACTGGGTCCCCATGTTCCATCCAGTTCTTTATCCACGGCAGATTCCCCCAAATTCCAAGGTGAGTGATCCATGAGATTGAAGGTGCTCAAGTCTGGCCATTGTCCTCATTCCTGCCAGGGTGAAGTCTGTCTCTGCACCAGCAGGATCTTTGTCCAGAGGAGCATCTACAATGAATTTCTAAAAAGATTTGTAGAAGCTGCCAGAAGATGGAAAGTTGGTGTTCCCTCTGATCCATCGGCCAAAATGGGTGCTCTGATAAGTAAAGCACATTTGGAGAAGGCAAGTAAACTGCTGCTATATGAATTTAAGAGGGAGTTTTTATTCAGCGAGCAGCTCAGGGCAAGCACCACTGTCCAATACTAGCATAGCTTTGAAAAATTACAACTTCAGGAAATTGTTTCTGTACATGGGTATGAACATTTAAGGTATGAAAATACAAGTGTAGCTCATGTTGATGTAGCTGATAATGAAGTTAACAAACTGAAGAAGAGGACATGGAGGTAACACCAATGCACCGGAGAGAGCCAGAACAGCCAGTAAGAATGGTAGGACTCAAAAGTTGCAGAGAATTTCATGGGGAACTTCTTCTCTGGTTTCTAATAGATGGGATTTCACAAAAATCAGCATGGACAATACAAATTACATCATCCATAGCCAATGGGGTCCATCTGGGAGTAAACATTGATGGTCCCTCAGTGATTTATGGGACTAATATCTTTAGGATCATTTCTATTTACTACCAGATGTGACTCCCAAAATAAGCCACAGCATTTGCCATTAGAAGAACTTTGTGTTTAACTGAGAGAACTAAGGCCTACTAAGGAGAATGCTGGGATTTGAATGATTTGTGTCCCCCTCAGCTCATGCAGGATTATAACCCCTAAATGTGTGTGTTTATAGTATTAGGAGTGTGGAAACATAATTACACAGGCATTTAGAGTGAAGACTTTGGAAGTGATTAGATTAAGTCCTTGTGACTGGAGACTCCGTGACTTAATCCTGGATAACAATGGACAGGGTGAGAGATCACGCATAAATCATTTAGTTTCTTCTCAGTATATCAAAATGCCTGAAACAGGTACTAACAAAAGAAGGAAGATTATTGTGGCTCGCAGCTTGAGAGGTTCATAGTTGAAGATTGAGTAGGTCCTTTTGGTTCAGTGTCTGGTGAGATCAGTGGAAGGTAAGCAGAGAATGTGAGCAGAGAGAAATCAGAACGTGTGCAAGGTAAACTAGAAGGAAGAGGCATAGCATCTGGGCTCACCTCAGGCTTTTACAGCTCATGCTTTGCAAACATTACCTTCTGAAGGCCTGTCCCAGGGACGTATGGACTTCGCTCTGGGACAACCTTTCAGACACCATAATTGAATTGAGTTTCCATTTTCTTCATCATCTACATGAGAACGGGAGTTGTCTTCTATTCAAACGGTAGCATTTTGCCCCTGCCTCTCCAAAAGTCCCACTCTTCTTATGTAATTCCAAAATCTCATCTGATACTCAAGGCAAGTTCTTCCAGTTACGAGTCTTTAAAAATCTGAGTTATAGCCTTCAAGACACAATGGTGGGATAGTCATGGGGTACACATATCTACTTCAAAAGGGAGTAACAGACCAATAAAAGGATTTCCTAAGGCAAGGCCAGACACTAGAAGTGCGTCCTGGGTACAGTGTGGCATGGGCAGCCCCTCCCATGCACTATAGCAGGTGACAGCCAAAGTTTCAGATCTCGCTGAAGGCTGAGTTCATGTCATTGCAGCTCTACCTGGCATTGCAATGCAGGGACTCTTTGAAGCAGCTCTGATATCACATTTCTGCTTGGCATTGCCTTAGTGGAAGTTCTCTGCAGTGGTCCACCCATGTGGCAGGTCTCTGCTTTGGCTCTCTGCACACAGACATCTATGTCTTTTCTGTGCAGGTGCACATTTCTGGCCACTCTGTCTTCCCTGGGTCTTCAACTAGTCTCCCTTCCCACACTTTCAACAGGCATCATTCCAGTAGGATCACCACACAGGGACTCCGATCTTGTCTGCCTGACGTCTTCTGTCTTCCTTTGAAATCTTGGTGAGAGCCACCATGATGCCATAACTCTTGAAATATGTACACCTGCAAAACCAGCATTGTGTGGATAATGCCAAAGTCGGCTACCAACAGAAGTTGTGTCTGAGTCTGCTTAAACAAGGCCTGTGGTAGTCTTGGAGCTCTTATCTAGCAAGCCAGAACTTGCAACTGATCCTGAGCAAGCAACAAATCTGGGCCTTTTTTTCCTGAAAGAAGTCTTGCTTGGAAGATCTTTGAAACAAGTATGTTGTTTGAAACCTCTGAACCTACAGTTGGAGGGGCAGACTTGCAAGATCTTTGAAATGCATTCTATGCCTTGGTTAACATAGTTCAGTCACCAATAGAATGTTCATTTTCCTTCTGAAAATGACGTCTCATCAACCTGACCTTTACTGTCCACCTTTCTAGGCTGTTAATCCCTCATCAGAATTCCCCAAAGTGCTCTGCTTATTGCATTTTAGGCTTTCTCTAGCCTGATCCAATCTCTTTCAAACTTTCCTGGTTCTAGTTTCCTCCATATTTTCAGGCATAGTTATAGCAGCAGCTTTTCTTCTCAGTGCCAACTTTCTGTGTCAATTTTTCTGTTACTGTAACAAAATACCCACAAGGAGTTACTTATGGAGGAAGGAGGTTTATTTTGACTCATAGCTTTGAGGATTCACAGGCCAACATATGGTAAGCCCCATCTGTTTGGTGTCTGGCGAGGCTGACAGGTGGCAACGATGGAGTATGTGTTCCACGCCTACCTCCTAACACCATAATTGGGCTGAGACTCTACCTTCTTTGTAACGTCAACCAGTGACTTCAGGATTTAACTGCCTGACTGGGGGAGACATAATTAATTAAAACCATAGCAGCACAGCAAAGAGAAATACTATGCTGTTTGTCATAAAAGAAATGCTGTTTGCCAAAAGAAATCTCTCTTCTTTGTAAGTTATTCACCTTAAGTATTTTGTTATAGTAATGAAACATGAGTAATAAAAAGAAAACTTCCCCATCAGTCAGTGAGTGAGGAAAAGAGCCTTTACTTATGTTTGCATTTAACTCTGGATTTCAAAACATTGTGAGGCATAGATGCATGAAGATCAGGAGAATGTAGCAGCTTAATGAAACCTCCTTATTTCTGCTAATTTAATAGTGAAATATAAAGCTTGGTAGAAGGAGAGGTGGTATTGGAGGCCGCAAAAATGGAGTTTGGATTATGTGTTAACAAGTCAGCAGAGAGAAAGGCAATGATAGAAGAGATTAGCAGGTAGCTGGAGAGGCTCGCTTGAGGCTATGGTCATTTGTGTAGAAGCCAACTAGCATAGCAGCTGCACATGTACAGGTGCCTAGGCAGCTGCACCAGAATGTCCCTGGGGACCCATGGTTGTGCATGTTTCTACCTTTGCAGAGTAAGGAGTCACCAAGTGCAAAGAGGCCCCTGTCCCTTCTCTCCTCTGGCTGCTCTGGGCACCAGGGTCACATGCTTGTTCATGCACTTGCAAATGGCAAGTGGACATCAGCTGTAATCCTCTCCTGAGTGATACCTGGGAGGCAGGTAGGGGTGAAATGAAACTTATTGTCTCAGAAGGCTCTTCCCTCTTCCTGAAGGCTCAAGTGACAATATGGTTTCAGGCCCGCTTTACAATCCACTCACTTTTCTGAGGCCCAAAGTTTCTCTGTATCAACCCAGCACTCAAGCTAGAATTTTTTTTTTTTATGCACTGCCCTGGTAACTAAGTGACATACTCAGAAGGTATACATCAGTGAAACAGTTCCAAATATTTTGCTTTTCTCTATCAATGATTCGCTCTGTGTGTGTGCGCGTGCGTGTGTGTGTATCTGTGTGTTGAAAGAGAATTGATGCCATACATTAGCTCACATGGGTAGCTATGGCTTTGTTTTTTGCTACCCTCTAAATGTTTGCCCCTACTGAGCAGCCTGAGGAAACCATGCCATTGATAGACTCAGTGGGTTCCCGTACACAATAATTACCATGAGCTTTTATATAGTATTTTAAAATATTACCTTTGGCTGACCACAGGAATCCACTTATTTATCTTTTTAAGTTTTAATGTCTATTAAATTTAAATGGACCACCATTGGAAAATTAAGTGTTTAATATGCCAATGGTAAAGGTGGTGTGCTCCGCATATTTAAAAAAATGCAACACCAGTTAAGCGAAGACAGAATAGGTGGGAGTGATGTCAGACAATGCCATGATGCCAGCTCCTTTGATTTTCTTTTTACTTTCTGGAATTCTTCTCCGTTAGGCATGCTGGAGAATCTGGATATGAGCCTACCTGTCCGAGAATAGAGGCAGAGAGAATTCTGGAGTGTTTATAGTGAGGTTGTAGGAAGCACAGAAGTTCATAGGTCAACCTCTAGTAGAGCAGGGCATCAGACCGACCTAGAGTATACCTGACAGTTCCCTACCCAGTTCTTCAGATCAAAAAGAAAAATTGCTATACAGAGTGAGGGATATCTCTGAAGCCTCTAAGCTAGTGTCAGACCATGAACTTCCTCTTCTAAGAACATTATAATGTTCTTTTGTATCTATGGGGTATACATTCTCAGACGCCCAGGGGATGCTTGAGAATGGCTGAACCCTAAATATAACACCCTGATGTAGGAATAATCAGTCTAATAACTAATATGGCTGCCCAGTGATTAATGTGTGGGTAGGGTACAAAGCATAAATTCACAGGACAAAAGAGGAATCATGTCCCTGTTGATGTGGAGCAAGAAAGCACAAGGACTCATGATGCTAGTGAGTAAGATGTATCATTTAAAACCCATGAGTTAGCTATTTCTGGAGTTTTCCACTTATTGTGTTTAGACCTTGGTTGAACATGGGTAACTGAACCATGGAGAGCAAAGTCACATATGGGTGAATTACAATAGCACTGTCATCACCATCATCCCCAGCATTGAAACAAAAATGACTGAGGTTTGAAAAAGACTTACTGGGTTGGGTATTGGGTCTAACAATTGAGTTTCTGGCTGGGATACTTCCAGGCTGTATATACTTCCTGGGTTTGAGTCTCAATTCTACCTCAATTCCAACTTTCTGCTACGGTTGCACTCTGGGAGGCAGCAGGTGGTGGCTCAAATGTGTGTGTCCCTGCCCTCCACACAGGTGACCCACGTCAAGTTCCGGTCTCCTGGCCTTAGTCTGGTCCATCCTCTCACATTGTGGGCAACTTTTTACATGCATTATTTTGTAAGAACCCTTTGAATAAGTAACAGCATTAATCCTATTGTTCAGATAAGGAAACTCAAGCATAGCCCATTTAAATCCTCCCAGGTAGTAGGTGGAAAAACTGAGGTTCCTGCACACATTAGTGATCCCAAGTCTACCTTTTTTAACTGCCATGCTCTAATTTTATGTCTAAATTTTCTAATAATAATTTCTTACATGTAATGCACAGTATCAGTCACAAGATTTTTTTTCCCTTCAAATTTTGTTGGAAATCTCAGTTCTTGGGCTGCTAGGTAGATAATACTGTATCATTGAGCGTGACTTCCTCTAGGAAATAAATTCACTTCAGTGTGATGTGCCTTACATATTAACATATTGATATATTCACAGTGTGCAACCTGACACTTGCCTTCCTCTATTATTTTCCCCAGAGCTGCTGAAATGCATCACAGGCCCTTATCTGTAGTTTGCTTTCTCTTGTTTCACTTAATCATGCACAACCACAGGCTACAAACACTGAAGATATTTTAAGGGAGAGATTATATTAAAATTACTTGTTTTGTAGTATGTCAATATCATTTTCTATTTCATTATTAGTTGTTGCTGTTATCCTCTTACTGTGCTTAATTTAGAAATCACGTTTGATCATAATGTAGATGGATATAAAAAGCATGGTATCTATAGGGTCCCATACTACCTGTGGGTTTGGGCATCCACAGTTGTGTTGGCATGTGTCCCTTGTGGATATGGGGTCGGGGGGATTGTCATTGCATTTAGATGGGATAGCCTAAAGCAGGAGCGAGCCTTGTACTGCTCTCCATCACACACCCAAGTCCCGCAACACTGCCCAGGTGTGCCTTAGGAGTCCTCCCCGGACTTCCCTTCCTACAGGTCACCCACTTTTAGAGTCCTTGGGTGGGTGGGTGATTTCAAAAGGAGCAAGAGAGTAGGGGAAAGAGAAGCATGGTGCTTTATAGCCAAAAACTAGAATAGGGAAACTTCTGAAGCAGCTCTGAGGTTACTGTGGATACTGGATACCAAATGTTCTATTTAAAAAACCCACAAAACGTTAACTTCACGGCTTAGTAAGAATCCTGTAAACTAGAAGGAAAATTAATAGAATGGCATTACTTAGTTTTTCCATGGCAAATGGGCACTATATTCACCATAGTGATACAGAGAAGTTCCAGTCCAATTCCTGGACAGAATGTTTGCAGAGAGGAAGGATAAGAGAAGAAATCTGAAACATTATTTCAAAATTGATCTTGCTTTGATTTATCACTCAACTGTCATTCTATAGTTTCAATGTTGAAGACTGCCTTTCCACTCTTCTTATAGTATGCTTTGGGATAGAATCATTGTGTCTTCAACAAAATTTCTGTATGAGTACATATACACATGCAAAATTATTCCTACAACCATTGTCATATCTGAGCCACTGGGTTAGCATATTATATAATTTGTTTTCCACTATCATTAATTATATATTACCTAGAAATATTTTCAGAGTATAATCAGTAAAAAGACTAGAAATTAAAAATGATTTGTTCTAGAAGTGTAAGTATGGAGGGGCTTCTTGGTCTTTAACTAAATCTAAGACATTATTTACTTCCCGTTTTCTGCAATGGATGTTGCCTCCTAAAACGGAGAAATGATTATTTTGGGTATTCAACCCCCAAGATTTCCTGAGTGTGAATTCTAGCTTCATTGTTCATTAGCTCTGGAAACTATTTTCAGCCTTTCTGAGACTCAATTATGTTATCAGCAAAGAGGGGGTAATAATAGATAAAAATAGCTAATAATTTTGGGAGAGAGTCAAGGGAGAATGTGTGAAAAGCCCCTTTCAGAATGCCTGCCATTTAGCCATTAATGACTTGGCCCTCTGTGCAGTAGGGCTGAATGTACACATGATGGCTGGAGCAGTTCCGAGCTCTGGCTTAGCAGCTGAGTGCCGAGATAATGAACCTTAGATTTTGTAGCAATGACCTTACGTCCGTTTCTGATGACTAGAAATTTTTGAATTTTCTGCTGTGTTGTGTGATGCCAGATGGTGAAGTGGTGCTAATTTTGGTTCTCACCCACTCAGGTCAGAAGTTACATCAACAAAGCTCGTGCTGAAGGAGCTCAAATTCTCTGCGGTGAGGGTGTGGACACACTGAGCCTTCCCCTGAGAAACCAATCAGGCTACTTCATGCTGCCTACTGTGATAACAGGCATCAAGGATGAATCCTGCTGCATGAAGGAAGAGATATTCGGCCCAGTGACGTGTGTTGTCCCCTTTGAGAGTGAAGAGGAAGTGATTCAAAGAGCCAACAGTGTTAAATATGGCCTGGCAGCCACGGTGTGGTCAAGAGATGTGGGACGCATCCACCGCGTGGCTAAGAGGCTGCAGGCTGGCTTGGTGTGGACCAACTGCTGGCTTATCAGAGAGCTGAACCTTCCTTTTGGGGGGATGAAGAGTTCCGGGGTGGGGAGAGAAGGAGCCAAGGACTCCTACGAATTCTTCACTGAAATCAAAACCATCACAGTCAAACACTGATGGATTGTTCCGGTCCCTGCCTGGCGGCTGGCGAGTGTTGTTCAGTGATGTGAATGGAAAACTTTTGAAAGTTCCTAGCCTTGCCCTGAATTACCAGGCCATTACCTCTAGTTTAGCCCTAGTTTTTGGTATTTTCACTTGCTGGTAAAGAGATTCCCCATATGGATCCACAGGAGGGAAGACTTCTGATTAGGAAAGCACAAAAGAGAAATCAAATGATCATTTGTTTCCTCATGTATTTTGTCTTCACAATCATCTTTTTCTTCATTTCATTTGAATTTTGGGGGCTCCCAGATAAGCAGACACCTTCAACTGTATGACTGAAAGACCATTTTATAAAGCCAAAGATATGCTGGAGTTTTTTGCTTTCAGGGGAATGTGGAGGTGGCTTCCTTGTCCATCAGTGGAGAGCCTCAGTGACAACTGCACCCCATCATATAGGCAGTGTGGATGACTGTGGGATTTGTCGGAGAAGACCTGCATGGTAGACCCAATAAATAAGGGACAAAACAAATAAATAAATTAAATAACTGCCACTTTTGTTGGAAACTTTTAAAAAAGTGAAAACATTTGATCCTTACCTCCCAGCAGGTCTAATCAATTCCAGTTCTCGGACTATGTATCTAGGAGCTGGCACGGTAGTGTCATATGTGATTCCTCTATCTGTGGCACTGACGTACCATACGGGCATCGGTGTCTCATATGGGTACCGGTTGGTGTCCCAGCTGCTCCACTTCTGATCCAGCTCTCTGCTGATGGCATGGAACATCAGCAGAGGATGACTCAAGTCCCTGGGCCCCTGCACCTATGTGAGAGACCCAGACGTTCTTGGCTCCTGGCTTTGGATTGGCTCAGCTATGGCTTTTGCAGCCATTTGGGGACCAGCAGAGTTCCAGCAGATGGAAGATTTCTCTCTGTCTCTCTTTCTCTCAGTAAGTTTACCTTTCATATAAAAAAAAAGATATAAATAAATAGATAAAAAATAAAAAGGATGTGTCTGTAATAAGGTTTATTTACCAGCTCTAACAAAAACAGTTCAAGTAAAGCAATTTTACTAGCCTCTTTGACAAATACCTTCTTCTTGAATTGTCTTTTATTCTTTCTTTTTTCCCATTCTGTTTGAAATACTAGCTTTTGAACTAAGTAACAAATGCATTTCTAAGGATTATATTCTGGATCTTCCAAAATGATTGGAAGAGTGAAGTTTGTACAGGTTAAGCACAGAGGGACAGAGGCTGGATTAGAACCCACAGCTCTCAGGCTCTAAAGCCCACTGTTTCTGACACCTCCCACTTGCTTTGGGGCATGCTCCCATATGGGTGCAGGGTCCCAAGGCTTTGGGCCATCCTTGACTGCTTTTCCAGGCCACAAGCAGGGAGCTGGAGAGGAAGTGAGGCTGCCAGGATTAGAACCAGTGTCCAGAGGGGATCCCGGCAAATGCAAGGTGGGGAGTTCAGCTGCTAGGCTACCGTGCTGGGCTCCTATTTTGTATAATTAAGTTGTGGCAGATTCACTTTAGGTGTAGACACTATATGCATACAGATGGATGCTATTTTTTTCATGAAATCAGATATCAGTATCACAGGAGAGATACTGATCATGACAATGATCATTATGTGGGGGGAAAAGTACATGTTGTCATTTACATGATATGACTCAGTGAAGCAATATCTGCAACTGGATACTAAATGATATGACATCCACATAATTTTATACTCTATTAACTTCCACAAAGCAGAAAAAGAATGTGATGTTTGTGTTTCTAGGTCTGGCTGATTTTACCTGGTATAACTATCTCTTTTTTCTATCCATTGTGTTAGTAATGTCAGAATTTCACTTTTTATGACTAATATTCTACAGTATGTGTACACCTCATTTTCATTATCCAGTCATTCATGGAGAACATGTTTTTTGCTGTTGTGAGTTGAGTTACTGTAAACATGGCACTGTAGGTATTTTGTTCATAGGCTGATTTTATTTTCTTTGGATATATTCCTAGGAGTAGAATAGCTGGGCCATATGATAGATACTTTTTAGGTTATCTTAGGAATCTCCACACTGTCTTATCTAATGCACAAGTCAATTTGCGTTCTCAAAGTGTGTTACAATGCCTTTTTCTCCACAACCTTGCCAGAATTTTTTTTTTGATATTTTTTATAATAACCATTCTAACTGGAGTCATTGTGCTTTTAACTTGCATTTCCTTGGAACTGAAATATCTCTTTGTACACTTAAAATATTTATTATTTGTACTTGAAAGAGTTATAGAGAGAGTGAGAGGGAGAGACACAGAAAGAGAGATCTTCTCTCCATTGGTTCACTTCCCAAATGGTCACAACAGTTAGAGCTGGACTGATCCAAAACTGGAAGCCAAGACTTTTTCCAGGTCTCCCACAAGGGTGCAGGTGCCCAGAGTCTTGAGCCGTCCTGCATTGCTTTCCCAGGCTGTTAGCAGTGAGCTGGATTAGAAGGGAGTAGCTGGGATCTACACTGGATGCCTGCATGGACGCCAGTGCTGCTATGCTGCTGCAGTGGCTGCACTTAAAATGTGAGGATATCCTCTCTGTGCTTTAGTTTTGAAAGTTGACTGCACTGTGTCACAATGAAGATCTTTGCTGATCATGCCCATTTAGAATTTATGTACTTTCTATGTTTAGATGTCCATATCTTTCTGCAAATAGGGGCATTTTTTTGACCATTATTTCACTGTTTTTTCAGTTCTGTTTTTCCACTTGTTTAACATTCCTAGGACTCATGTATTTGGTCATTTGAAGGTATCCCATAGAGGATGGACACTGCTTTCTTCCTTGGTATTGCTTGCTTCTTGTATTTTCTGAGATGTTTCAAGAGGTTTGTCTCCTAGATTGGGCTGTTTTTTCTTTTCCTGCCTCATTAGGTCTGTTGTTAAGGCTTTCCAGTGTATTTTTTGTTTAGCTCATTAAACACTTTGTTTCTAATATTTCTGCTTGTTTTTTTTTTTTTTTCTTTTTCTCTATCTCTGCTGATTTTTTGTTTGTTTGGTCCATTTCACTTAGGTCCTAATTGCATTTAACTGTTTCCTGACATTTTTGAGTAACCTTACAATCATTCTTTTGAATTCTTTTTCAGGCATTTTGTCAATCTCCCTGTCTCCACAGTCCATACTTAATGCATTGTTTTGTCCCCTGTCAGGAGTCACTTTGCCTTCCTTGTTCACGTTGCTTCCCCGTGTCTATCAGTCTCCAGGTGCCTCTCTGCTGTCGTTCTGTCCTCTCCTATTTTCTGGAATGTGCCTCTCTGCTTCACACTGGCTAATGTTTTTTGGTCTCTTTAAACATGTCCTCACCCTATTCTGCCGTCTTGATTCTTCTCTCAAAAGTTTAATGTAAGAAAAATACCAAGATGTGCAAAGCAACAATTGATGGTGAGAACAATAGGCAGGAAGAAGATACTAAACGCTGGATCAGTCTCCTCGGAGATCTGGGAGGGCATCACTTTCATAGTAAGTGTATTATTAAGAGAAGCAGGTGGAGCACATGCAACAGATCTTGAAAAATTAGACGTTCATTCTTCCAGTAAAATTTAACAGTCTGTATTATCCAACAGAGTTCAACAGAATTCTTCAGTATAGTTCAAACTAAATTAGCAACCTAGGAGACAAAACTGAAGAAAAAAATAGGCCAAAATATAGAGCATGACAGCAAGAGAAAGTATAAGAAGTATAGAAAGACAATAAATTTAGAACTAATACAAGATGAGAAAGACAGTAGAGGAGAAAAATGATGAAATAAACAATAAAGAAAATTGCTCTGAATGAAATGAAATTTCTTTGGGGATCCCTTCAGCTGAACAGCTGATCTCAGAACTCCAACAATGAAGAGAAGTGCAGGTTCCATGGTCTGACTATAGAGTGTATGTGTCAAAGCTGAGCCTCCTCAGAGGCTCAGATGGAGTGGTGACAGAGTACACAGGTGCACATGGAGGATATGGCAGTCCATCGGAACTGCAGAGGACACCTGGTACCACAACAGATGACAGAACAAATCGATCACCTACCCCAGCCATGTGCTGGCAGTGAAAATCTGGGCAAATGGAGACTCTATGGTGAACTATGTCAGCCAATGGATTCTGGAGAGATGTCATTGTGCTTGGAATGGCGAGACTGGCAGCAATTCATAACTGTTGAACCATCAAAACCACTTGAGCAGTGCCCTCGGAGCATGCCCCATGTTGGGGCCCTGGGATAGGTGGGAGGCTGGATGGGACTTCTCCCTTTATCTCTCCCTGCCCCCCTTACTGCAGAAACAGAAAAGAAAGAGAATAATAATGTGGGAAAAATAATGGGGGCTCTTTTGGGAGGTATGGATTATTCAGTAAGAGTTGTTTATGCAGAAACATCTTGGTGCTTTCTCCATATCTGCTGGATTCTGAACCATAACAATGCTATTGGGATTCAATTTCTGAATTACAGAAAACTTCTTAAACCTATAGTCACATGGTTGGATGATGAATCTGTCAACAGACACGATGGAAGAAGGGGCAGGCTGTGAACTTTTACAAATCTTACAGAATAAGGAGCAGGCCAGAAATGTCAGATGCTGAGGAATCAGCTATGCTACCCCCACGGCACCAACCCCAAACCAGAACTGTTTTAAAATGATCACTTCTGGGGAAAAAAACTAGAGGTGGGAGAGGGGGATGTTTAGTATAACGGAGAGTCACTTTTACTTTCATTTGAGCTATGAGGCAATATTGGATTTATTTTTACTTATTTTCACATGCTGTAATTCTCTTTCTATAAGTAATAGCATGCATATTTACAAGCTCGCCTGGTGATGATTTACCTAAAACATGACACTTTGGAAGCTCGTGCTCAGTGTTCTCCAAGGGTCTCCAGCTCTCTTCCCTCTGTCCCTGCTGCCTTTGGAGGTCTGAGATGACCTGGGCCCTGGGGAGACCCAGTGCTGGTGGAGAGAGTGCTTTCTGCAGAGTTCCCTGGGGAAGCCTGCCCTAATGTGGGCAGTGTCTTCTAGGGTCCCCCATGCTGCTAGCCTGCTAAGCTGAGCTCTGCAAGGTGGAGCCTGTGAGCACCCACCTCCCTGATTCTTTCTCTCATACCTGGCATAGGGAGGGCAGGGGATCTTCTGGGATAATTCCTGTACCTTCTGGTTTCCCATCCTGGATATCCCCTTAAGCCTCAACCCAGACCTTTGGAAGCAGATTCCCAAACCCTGAGCCTTCCTTGCTTTGGGTCTGCTCTTCTCCTGGAAATTTCCCAGGAGTTGCCAATAGCTGACACACCTGGGACAACCCAAGATCCTCCCTTCTGATCCACAGTGGAAGACTTTTGGATGTAAATTTTGGAACATATTTTGATGTCCTTTTGTTTGTGAGTATCTCTGTTGAGCCTGCTGGAATGTGTACTGAACATTCAGATTGCAATCCTTGGTGCAGGCTGGTCAGTGCCCTGGCAGTGCTAATTCAAGGCCAATGA